TGGGGCATATATTCAGCGCCATGAAGGCGCCACTCTAGGGGGGTGCAAAGCCGACTCGCCGGTGTTGCTAGGGGAATAATATTCCGACGATCGTGCACGCGGCGCGCACACACCTAATGGAATGGATATGAGCAACACATCTCGAAGAACAACAGTTACAACGGTGAGTAACCGTCTTTTTAAGATGCAAGTACATCGCCAATATTCATAACTTCAGGTACAAAGATGATACATGCATATAAACAAAATAATCATTTTTAGCAACTCATAACTTTTCCATTGACACTTTACATGATATACTTTGTACAGGATTTGTTGCAATTGTATAACAGTGGTATCAAGAATGATACAAATGGTCATCTTTCATATATATATATATATAGCATCACACTTGACTTGAGACACAGGGGTCTTACTTGCAGAAGTGCGGAGCAGTCCCAGATGCAGCTGCCATCAGTGAGAACTGTGCTTTGAACATAAAGTGCTATATAACACTAAATCCTCTGAAAATGTAGTCCAAGGTGTCTCATATTGAACACCTAAAATTAGTGTGTACTCTGACCCTAATGTCTCCGTGCTTCAGTTCCCCATCTGTAAAATGGGGATAATATCTCACCTCCAATGTTCCCTCTAATTTTTTACATCCAGGTGTGGAATTAATTTTGTTATGTGCACAATTATGGAGATGATGAGTGGCGAGGTTGGGGCCGAGAGGTTTGGAGTGTGGAAGGGGGCTCAGGGCTGGGGCAGAGGGTTGGGGTGTGTGGGGGTGGGGTGAGGGCTTGGGTTGGGGGTGCAGGCTCTTGGGTGGGGCTGGGGATGAGGGGTTTGGGGTGCCAGGAGGAGGCTCAGGGCTAGGGTAGAGGGTTGAGATGTGGGGGGATGAGGGCTCTGGGTTGGGGCCGGAGATGAGGGATTTGGGGTGCAGGCTGCCCCAGGGCTGCAGCGGGGAGAGAGGACTCCCTCGAGCCCTCTCGCAGCAGCAGCCCAGGGCCGGGGGAGAGGCACCTCTCCTCGCCTGTGTGGCCCTTGATAGCTGCGCAGCTTAGATGGAACTTAGCTCACCTCACAGGGTGCTGTGAAAATAAATAAATTAATGTTTGTGAAGCACTCGGATACTATAGTGATGAGCACCATAAGAAAGCCAGTGAGGAAAATAATTCTTCATAGTAGGGTTTGAATAAGGTGCAGTAAATAAGATCTGGGGTCGCACAGTGAACAATGAGCAGAAAACAAACATTGAGTAGCTGCTCATTAAGAGAGCATCATCCATCAGGAGCACAGAATGAGGGCAGGGGTTCTGTTTAAATAGTATGTTGTTTTGTAATTAAAGATCGTATAATAATACATATGCAGAAGGGGGTCAATTTAATGTTGCACAGATAACCTTAAAACAGACATTTCCGAACCTTTGAGTGCTTGATTTTGCAACTTTGTTATTGATATTGCAACTTTAATGTTGTTTTTGTGTGTAATGTAATATTCATAGATACCACAGAGTGTTTCTGGGATTATTATTTATAGGCAAGTTTGCTTAGCAGTCTAGCTTTATATGGGGTTCTCAGGATAAGGAATATCTTGAGTTTTTGACCCCTTAGTGCCTATTTATGGTTTTATAATTAAGAGTAGTTTACTTCCAGTTCTGGAAATTTTATTTAATCTTATTGCTACCAAACAGTTATAAACACTTTTGGGTTGGTTATAATATGGGAATGTTATTGCAGTATTAATCAAATTTTCATAAAGACATACATCTTTGTGGGACAGCAAAATAAATGCATTTAATAATTTACAGTTTTATGTTCTACAATTTAATGATTTTTTTTTAAAGTTCAGAGTTAATTATCCCAAAAGGTCACTTGTCTATTAAACAATGCATCCTGTTAGTAGTAATCACTTCCTGGAATTGAAGGAGCCAAGATTACAGCTGCTTACATGTAGATGTGTACTGCAAATTCTTCACAGGAAATTATCTTTGCTACGGAGCATAGTGTAGACCAGTATCATGGTAGTGTGTTTGAATTCATGTGTCCACGTTCCCATGCATCAACTTTAGTGTGTCCTTTTCACAAAATTACTTTCAAAGAAAAGTATGTTGGTGGTGTAAAAAGTATGTTCATTGTGAAAATTGGAACTAATTTAGATACTTTGCACTTGTTGACTTTCAACTGAGGTCCTCCTTAAAGATATTTGTTGTTCTGTTACTAATGAAAGTATGATATAGGCTTAGTATCATGAACTATGTCTTTATGAAAGTGATGATGATATAAATAGAAAAAAGTACAAAAATCCTGTGGATAAAACCTTTGAATTCCTAGATATTCAAATATTTTGAAGTTTGTTGATCTTTTAATATTAACGCTAAAAGGAATATATATACTCAGAGAAGGCTAATGATAATTATCTAAGATTAAGAGATAATTTGGCATAGGATCAAGGTATTCATTTTCATCCTCTTTTACTGGATTTTTAAAATATCCTACTGTGAATCCCACAGGGGAGGATTGTGCATGTGCTGCTGCTCCTGTCAGCGTTTGTCTTCCCAGAAGCATTGGACAGGATCATATCATTTTCACTCTGCTGAAATGCTCTTTCTTGGCACTCTTTGCTAAATGTGGTATGCAGAGGCAGCAATAGGTGTGATGCTGGGGAGAAGAAAGTGGTCCCAATGGAATAGATTTGTGGAAGAGCAGAGACAAAAAGAAAATGGAATGGGCGATTCCATAGGCGGCACGTGATTCTTTCATTTGGGATGGCTGGGCATGAGCCCTGGAAGCTCCCTAAAAGTGTGTGTGTGGGGGGGCACTGGTGCCTGGACCATGACCCCAGCTCCTGCTCCACCCTTGCTCGGCCTCCTCCCCCCAAAGCCCCTCCCGTGCTCTGCCTCAAGGCCCTGCTCCTGCTTGGCCTCTTGCCCTGAGGCCCTACCCTCACTCTACCTCTTCCTGGCCTTACTCCCCCAAGGCGGAGAGGAGTGAGCGGCGGATGGCAGGGAGCCTCTGGGGGAAATGGCGAAGCAAGGGCGGAGTGAGGGCAGGTCAACGGTCTGGGCGCCAGTGGCCCCCCACTTCTCACGAGCTTCCAGCAGCAGTGCTCCAAAGGTGGCAGGCCAGCACGCCTCCAAAGGGAGGCACGCTGCATCCGGCATTTCTTGACCATTTGGGGAGGCTTAGCCTCCTATGCCCGCCACCCGTCGGTGATGCATACACAATATTGGACTGGACTGGTAGTCCAGTGGGAGCCCATCAGTGTTCAGCTTGATTTAGCTCCTGATGCCAAAAGGATCTGGAAGTAATTAAATGATAATACACTTAGCACTGGCAAAAGGATGTGTACCATGTCGCTACCGAGCAATCATAATAGGTAGGCTGGAGAAGCCTCCCAACTGATGCACACTGTGCATTGGAATAATTTGTATTCCGTATCTGTAAAGTTTCAGAAATCTACATTTTTTTAATGCACTTAGTCATGTTTTTTTGTTGTTGTCATCATATTAACCTTGGAGTAGACCTTAGCTTTGTTTGTGACTGCGGGATTACAGGTTAAAGGATAGATGTTCATATGCCGAGAACAAAATACTCTTGAATGTTGGCTTTTGAAAGACCTAAATCACCCTTTCTATGCTAGACCTAGTGGGCTGATTATGATGTATGCATATATGCAGACATTTTTATGAAAAATTGGTTACAATCTAGAAATTGATTTTCCTGTTTTCTTTTCTTCCCAAGCTACCCAGAGTGAGGAGCGGCTGTGTGCATTTAAGGACGCATATCAACAGGACCATGGAACCAATGAGAATCAAATCTCTCAGGAGAATGGCACAATTTTATGTGTGAAAGGCACCAGCTGCTATGGACTTTGGGAAAAAACACGAGAAGGAGACATACATCTTGTAAAACAAGGTAAGTAACAGTTAAGCTTTGCTAATCCTTTTGTGTAGAAGTAACCTGTTGGTATGAAGGCTTTAATTTGCAAGGCTTTTTTTGCTAAACAATTAGATAAATCTTGTTCTTCTTCTTCTGAAACTTACTGTATGGCAGTTTATTAGGTGTGAACAGAAAGTTCCTTTTGAAAAAAGAAAAGTGCTTTGAAAGACTAATAGGTACATTTTCAGTGCATAGTTCAAGGCAAATTAGGCATAAAACACCTTTTTACCCTGCAAGTCAAGATTAAAGCTGCTTTCCTGGGTGAATTGTAGTACATTTCCTAAATTGGCAATATGTCTGATAGAGAGTAAACTTCTCTTTAATCAGAGATGTTCATTTTACATTAACTGTATGTGTTTGATTATGAAGGACTCTATACATGAATATAATAAATATGTCACAAAATTATAATTTTCTCAAAAATACTTCCACTAATCAACCAATCTTGCTCACTAGAGAATTGGTATTTAGTGATCAAGGATGTTAAGAGAGTCCTAGCTACAGTAAAAGTCATATTTACTCTGAGCAAATGCCATTTAATCCAGGTGTAGAACTTTTAGGCCATTTCTAAGTCATTTTTCAGCAGAGACTGATAATCACATCTGATAACCACACTGTAGTAGCTTAGGGAAGTGTATAAATATCACTGGGAACCAGGTAAAAACACCACATATATTTTTCTTGTAACCTAACTCAAACTGTGTTCCCAATCTCCAGAGCTGAAAGGCTAGAACATTAATTTAATCTTTCACTTAGACTATCTCTGATTCTCTTTAATCAGTAGTTAGAGGTATCTGAATGGTACTTTAATCCATTCTGGATGTAGAAAATGTTCTTTTCCACAAAATTTTTAATATATTTAGAGGAAATGATTGGGGCTTGATCCACTTCTGCTGGCAACATAGCTGCAGATTACAATCATTTGCATGATAGGGCAACTATGCTTTGGGGTCTGCACCTCAAGGATATTTGCTCTTTTGTCCTCTAGAGTTTCTACGAGGGAGAACAGTTTTAAATTGTGGCCAGCGTACCTCCTGGGCAACACTGGGTTACTGTAGATCTCCTGGAACGTGTGATGATTGTGGGTGACTCATACTATTGAATGGCCTTCTCCAGGGAGACTTTCCATTGCAAGGGGGCTATATGCACTGGATTAATCCAGTCGAAGGTAGCATAACAGAGGGATGATTTGAACACTTCATATTTAAAGACACAGTGTGCAGTGTCCCAGTCAGTTACTCTTATTATTTTAATCATGTTTTTTTAAATATATTTGGGGGGCGGGTTTAATTAGGGGTAGAGGTTGGATAAGGGATAATGGCAGGAATGGGGGAGTTAGTAAACCTAAAAATAAGAGCATAGGAAAAGGAATTAAGGGGAAGAAGGTTGGGAACAGTGGTGAAGGGAAAGTGATGGGGAATATTGCAGTAAATTATTAGAGTTGTTAAAGAAGACAAAGCTACATTTGGAAGGGCTTTCAAATTAAAGACAAGAAACTTTTTCTTGTAGTGCTGGTGGAACTCAGAGTGAGGTAATGTGGTCAGAGCAGCAAGCCAGAAGGATAATCTTAACAGCAGCATTTTGAATGGATTCGATGAGACAAGTTTGCTTTAATGAATACCAGAGAGGAAGAACTTTCATTTGTCAAGACACAAGATCAGAATAGACAGAATTTTATAGATATTACATAAGAATAATCTGCAGGATTTAGACATGGCCTGACTTTATGACTTTAGAGAGAAGGTCAAGACAAAGATGACATCCAGATTGTGGGTCCAAGTGACTAAGAGGATGGTACTGTTGGCTGTGGTGTCAGAAATGTAGGAAAAAGGGAGGATCTGCGGGGGAAAGATCAAGTGCTCTGTTTTGGCCATGTTGAGTTTAGGGTGACAGCTGGATACCTGTGAGGAGATGTCAGAAAGATAGGTAAAGATGTGGGTTTTGATGAATGGGAGAACAGGTGAATTTGTGAGTCATTAGTCTGAAGGTGGTAGCTCAGTGGTTCTAAAACTTTTGTACTGGTGAACCCTTTCACATAGCAGGCCTCTGAGTGTGACCCCCTCCTTATAAATTTTAAACACTTTTTTATATATTTAACACTATTTTAAATGCTGGAGGCAAGCAGGGTTTGGGGTGGAAGCTGACAGCTCTTGACCCCCCATATAATAACCCTGCGACCCCCTGTGGGGTCCCGACCCCAAGTTTGAGAACCCCCGTGGTAGCTGACGTCTTGCAAGCATATAAGATTAACCTACTCATCTGTGGAAGGAAAGAAAGAAGAGGTCCAAGGATGGAGCCATGTAGGAACCCCACTGAAAGTTAGTCTGGGGGATAAGAAGGATCCACCAAATGAAACAGTGAAAATATGATTAGAGAGGGTAGGAGAAGAGCTAGAAGAGGGAGGATGGAGTTACAAAAGTTGAGTGAGGACAAGATTTCAAGGAGAAGTGCATGTTCAAAGGTGTCAAAGGCATAGATCTAAGAGAGGAAGATGGAGTACTGGCCCTGAAATCTGGCCAGAAAGAGATCACTGGAGATTTTGGGTAGAGCAGTTTCAATGAAGCATAGAGGGTGGATGCTAGATTTGGGGAGTGTCTAGGATGGAACTGCAGAAGAGGAACTCCAGATTACAGTTGTAGATGGCACATAGGACGTATTTGGAGATGAAGGGAGGAAGAGAGGCTAGGTGATTAGTTTTAAGAGTGTGGGGAGCCAAGGTTGTTTGTTTTAAGATGGGGGAAACTAAAGTAGGCTTATACTGGAACAAGAGAAGCCTGATGAGAGTGAGAGGTTGAGGAGGAAAAAATAGTTAATTAATTATATTTATTAATTATATTTAGTATATAAAAATGTAAACACTGGTGCAAAATCAATTTTGGTACCATTTGGTACCATTTCACTTCCTTCCTTTTGCAGGATGCTGGTCTCACATAGGAGACCAACAGGAGTGTCAGTATGAGGAGTGTATAGTAACAACCACCCCTTCCTTGATTCAGAATGGAACGTATCGCTTCTGCTGCTGCAGCACTGACTTGTGTAATGTCAACTTCACTGAAAACTTTCCTCCTCCTGACCCAACTGATACAACACTTTTCAGTAAGTCAAAACTCCTAGACCTACATGATTTCATGCTTTAAGTATAATTAATTTGAGAAAGACTTATTTTTCATGCTATTATGGAGTATTGATAGAAACCTAAAGCTATACTGTGCTGCTTTTGTTGTTGTTGTTAAATTAAAGTACATTGGCACTTCACTGCTGCTTTTATTCTTTCACAGAGGTCATACATTATCTTGCTTTGTACTTTCAAATCATTTAGGTCCTGTACACGCTGGGATTGGAACTATGTAATCTCTATAAGAACGTTCAAATATGGCTGTTGCTTAAAGAATTCTAGCGTGGTTTTCTGCCTCTTGTGGTCAGGGGTTATTTTCCGGTGCATGCAAGCCAAATGGTACCTTAGACTGTCCCCTTGGGTTGTCTGTCATGGGGTTATTTGTCAAAAAGACACTGTCCATTCTAATCAGGGAAACCATGGTAGAATCCCATTAGCAACAATTATATATAAATATGGTTATAACTAGCACCCTTCTGATCCCACTGTGAAAAGAGCATTTTAGATTCTGTATACAGTGTATTGTAAAGTTGTACACTGTAGTGCCCAAACACTTAAAGCACAGTATGGTTTGGTCAGAGTATATGGGGTCAAAATGTGTTCCTTGATCATAGTACAGTCTTGGATTTTGTAGGGCTGTAGTAAACTTCAGGAACGTGATTAAAACACATTCAGAATCTACATAGCAGTACTGTACCACCTTGATAAGCATATTGGGGTACTACAGTGTTGTAAACAGACTGCCCAATATAGTAACTTTATATACTGTGAAGAGATCATATCTTATAGCATAAGTGATAGTAGGAAGATGCAGCTAAAACCAAAAGAGATGCTGCTTTGATTAAGGTTTAGATAACAGTACTGCCAGTAATCTCCAGAAATCTGAACTGATGAACTTTCATTGCCTTCATTTTGACAGAAAAGAGTGAGAATTAAAATAAGAGAAGAGATTTCTGTGCAAGATGAGTTTCCTCACTGGAATCTTCACAAGCTATTCTAATCTCTGTTCTGTTTTGTAATTGTGTAATTTGTGACTATCAGCAGCTCTTGCCTGCAATACATGTTTCACACCACCCAACTTAATAGTGTCAGAGAACAGAAAAGAAAGAGGGGGCTGTAAGAGAGCAATTTGTATTAATCCCTGTCATGATTGCTATGCCAGGATCTTTTTGTCCTGTCGGCAAATTGAAATAGAAGAGCCTTGAGGTGGCTAGTGTCATTCCCAGGAACCTGACCTGACAGGAAATCTGGAGCTAATTTTGTTGCATCACTCCTCAACAGAAAGAGGTAGAAAATTCCTGCAGTTTTAATGGCTTAATCTATACTTCCATACAGCCTTCTTCACTGACCATAGAAAGCCCTTGTAAATAAGGCATTTTGTGAATGTGGAGTTCTGGATTATTCATATCTACATAAAATTAATGGTCTACCTCTGGAAAATGGCTACTTTTTTATAAGACCTTTTCTTTGTTCACATCTGATATTTGGTTTAGCCTAGAACCTCTCCCTGTATGGCATTGAAATTCTGTTAGGAATTCTACATGGATTTGACATATTAGATAGCAATATTTAAGCTTTTACAAAGAGAAAATTTATAAATTACATAACTCAAATGCTGAAGAATGCCTGTATGTCTGATAAACGTGAGAAAATTTACAGTTTTTCTCACATGTTTATCAGACACACAGGCAATCATCAGCGTTTGATTTATGTAATATAGGTAAGGTGATCCAACCCCATTTTCCTTGGATTCTGCTAAAATCAGAAATCTATTTATTATGTATTGAGAAGTGAAAAAAATAACTATTTACGAGAGCATAGCTTAGAAAGTAGTGCCAAAATTTCAAAATATCCACTCCTGAAAGTAATCCTTATCCAAATTCTTTTAGTTCTAATGTAAAACACAACAAAATGTAAACATTTAATAGATGTGGTTGCAAAGTTTAAGTAATGTGAAAGATGGAGATTCATTTTGGAAACCTCACACTGCAAGATAGTAAGTCTTTTTTTCTTAGACCAACCTGTTTTCATTCAAAATAGCTGATGCATGATGGCTTCATACAAGACTTAGTTGCTACATATAATCATTCCCTTTCTTATGGCTCTTTTTTTCTCCCTACATCAGTGTGATTTGATTTCTAGCAACTGGTACAATTGTGACAGTCTCTGTGGCACAAGATCAAACATGCAATAACTCACTTATGCCAGAGCTGGACGGGGAACAATTTTCCTGTCTTGAGAATTTTTTTTTAATTTCAAAAAGTTTTCCCATCCCAAATTTGGGGAGACAGTCAAACATGTCAAAAATTTTCATGAACAGACAATAAAAAAAAAAGGTGGCTCTGATCAATGAAAACATTTTGTTTTGATAATTTCAAAAGATTTCTGTTTCAATCTTTTAAATTTTTTACTATAATTAGGTTACGTTTTAAAATTAGTCATTTCCAAATATAAAAGGAATTTTTTTTTTGAAAAGGGTCATTTTGAGAATTTCGAATTTTTTTCCAAAGAAGTTTCAAAACAAGAAATTTGCCAAAACTGAAATTTTCTTATGAGCAGATTTAGTTTAGACATTTTCTGATGGAAGGATGTTTAGTTGAAAAATTTCCAACTAGCTCTTCTTACACCCTGATCCAGTAAAGCATTTAAACTATACTTAACTTTAACCATGTAAATAGTTCCATAGAAGTCAAAAACATGCTTAATTTTCTCGAGAGATTGGAGTCTTACATACATTTATAACATCCCGTTCAGGGCATTGAGAGGTAACCATAGATATTCTTTTGTTGTAACTTTTCCTTTCATGCACAACAGAGCATGCATAAATAGAACTTTGTTTCATATGACATTTTTCATACTCATGATATTCTAATGCACAATTTAAAAAAAATGAGTTGGGCATTAATAAGTGTCTATGTAAGTAGTCATTAAGGGCATGATATATCCAAGTTTTCAAAAGTGGCCTCTAATTCCTGGAATACCAAATATAAATTTGAAAAGTAGGTTGATTATTAAAAGAATCTGAAAACATTACAGACATAAATAATTTAAAAGCTAGTCACTTTAGAAAAGTGAGTTAATAATGCTTACAGGTACTGTACTGCCAGTGAGTCAGCCAATTTTATGGTTTAACAGTTGTGTTTATTTTGCTTTTCAATTTTTTGTATTCCACCTGTAGCTGTGTGTGAAAGACATGCACAAACTGACTGTAGGGTACTCAAATTCACAAAATAAAAAACCTGAAAAAATCGAGAAACTCTTTATTTTTCTTGGATCTTTTTCAGTTACAGTAATTTTTGGTCTTACAAATAAAAATAGTAGGTCAAAATTTCCAACAAAAGGGGGATTTTATATTTAAATTTCAGCCCCATCATTTTTTGAAAGATACTTTTATAAACAATGAAAAATGAGACGTAGAATAGAATGGTCCCTGAAATCACTGTGCAGTGTGTTCAAATTAGAGTTGTTACAGGAGCCGAGCCATTGCATTGAATTTTCTGACCATCATGCATGTAAAATCTCAGCTAACTAACTATTCTTTTTTTAAATAAATAAAAGTTCCAGGACCTTATTTTTCTTTTTGGTTAACAGTTCAGTCGTTCATTTAAATAATCTCTCATTTGACTAGCTGTAATACCCACCCTTAATACTTTTAAGATGGTATGGGAAAGACCAAACCTTTTCTGCTTGGTAGCGAGCATTTTCAAATCAAATTTTATATACTCTGTGGCATGTAGTGCACTATATATTGCCATATCCTGCCAGTATAAAGCATCCAAAATTGGGGATGTTTGTGTCCTTCAGATGCTAAGGGTGCAAGAAGAGTGAGGAATGACATTTATGCGAAGCTTGAAGATTTATATCTACTGTATATTATTTTGAGTTATAGAAGTGTATAATGTCTTTTTAAAAAATCTACACTTTTTTTGGAAAACATTTTATTTCACACTCTGATAAGTCAAACTTGATCAGATGGATTTACCAAAAAAGGTGGTAATAAATAATGACTGACAGGGGGCAAAGTTTGACCTTATGGTTAAAGGTTTCTAGAGATCTGGGATTGATTCCTGGGCTCTGCCAAAGATTTTCTATGTGATCTTGGGCAAGTCACTTAATCTCTCTGGGTCTCAATTCTATATTTGTAAAGTGAGCATAATATTTCCCTGTCTCACTGAGTATTGTGAGAACAAATTCTTTAATATCTGAGTCACTTATATACTATGATGTTCAAGTGCATACAAGAACCTGTATAGATAGAATAAGATTGTATCCTTGATCATACGTATATTATCATTAAAATGTTGAAATTACTAAAGCAATGAAATTCAATATTAAGATTGTGTTTCTGTAACACATTCTGTTGGGTATATGATATATTTCTAGTTTAGGGAAACTGTGTTGATTTTTGTTCTTTTCATAGTAAATGTCGACTTCAATTATTAGAGGATTTGGAAGGTTATTTAAAACAATAGCATAAGGTATTATTTATGTAAAAGATTTGACTAACTCCCACAACAAAACAAGTAGGTGTTTCTCTGTTTTGGATTGCTGATTTAATGGTTTAACATTCCAGAGATGCATCATGACCTTCCTTTGCTTAATGTCCTTACCACTAAAGTAAAACATTATTTGTGTAAGAGTGCATACAAGTTTGTGAAAACTTTCTTGCGAAAGCTACACTTTTTTTTATTTTTATAAAGTGAATAGCTGGGTCAGGTGAGTGAAGGTGGCATCCTGATGCTGCTCCTATTGTATGCAGTGTAGTTGTAGCTGTATCGGTACCAGGATACTAGAGAAACAAGGTAGGCGAGGTAATATCTATTATTTGACCAACTCCTGTTGTTGAGAGAGACAAGCTTTCAAGACTTGAAGAGCTCTGTGTGGCTCAAAAGCTTGTCTCTCTCACCCACAGAAGTTGGTCCAATAAAAGATATTGTTGCTCCTATTGAAAGTTTAGAATTAGATCATTTCAGTTGCCCTA